AGAGAGAGAGAGAGAGAGAGAGAGAGAGAGAGAGAGAGAGAGAGAGAGAGAGAGAGAGAGGGCCTTGGGAAGGAGAAGAGGACGAAGAAGGCGGCAACAGAGCTATCGATCTGTCCATTAAGACGTGGGAGCAGGGATACACAAAAGGCGCCTGGAAGGAAAGGAGGACGGATAAGACTTGCAACAGAGCGATCAGTCGCTCGATTAGGACGTAGCAGCACGATCAACGCACACACAAAGAGGTCGCTCGATCGCGATATATATATATATATATATATATATATAGAGAGAGAGAGAGAGAGAGAGAGAGAGATAGATAGGTAGAAGTTTTTTTTCGTTTTCTGTTGTTGTTCTTTGTTTTTCGATTCCTTCCTGCTTCCCCCCTCTCCCTCGCCGCGCCGCCTCTCCCGCCGACAACTTTGTCTGGTCGGGCACATTTGAGCCTGCCTCCTCCCTGGGGGCTCTTCTCTTGCGTCCCAATACAGTCCTACATACACACATTCTCCCTCTCTCCATACACACATATACACACACACACACACACACACACACACACACACACACACACATATATAAACACACAAAAATGCAGTCCTTTGCCCTTTCCTGCCTTCTCCACCAAACCTCTCCCGTGCATATCTCTGGAGAAGAGCGATGAATACCGTCGAAGGCGATGGATGACAACGTACACGACCGTGTGCACAACACACACAAGAACAATTGACTTCGTTTTTCTTTCCGTTTCCTTGCTTTTTCACGCATTCACCTGCTTCATGGGATAGCGGTGCGTTGGTTTAGTTAGTGATTGGCAAAACAGGTTGGTTCGTTGGGCTCTCTCTCTCTCTCACACACACACACACACACACACACACACACACACACACACACATACACACACACACAAACACACACAAACACACATACACATGCCGGATCATTGAAACTCTCTCTCTCTCTCCTCTCTCTCTCTCTCTCTCTCTCTGAGTGTGTGTGTGTGTGTGTGAAGTGACAGTGGAAAGCAGCCAATTCGAAACTCACTGTTTATCCTGAACAGAACTGCACACATGAGGCTTTCGTACCTTAACCTTGAACACGGCGTGCACGTCTGTGGTTCTTCGTCTACGTCTTGTGTGCAGAGTAAGTGGAGGGGAAAGAGAAGGGATGATCGACAGAGAGCAGGGGGTAAAGCACGATTAGAGGGGCAAAGAGAGGCGAAGGAGGAGGGTTTTTTCGTTTCGTGCTAAGTTTTTTTTTTTTTTTTTTTTTTTTCGTTTAAATAAAAGAAGAAAACGGTATTTCAAACCCGTGCGCTCTCTCATCTGACAGAAATTCTTTCAAATGACAGAGGTGCCTGGGGGTAAACGAAGTTTCAATCATTGGCGACTCTGTTATGTACGTGTGTTTACGTAAAGAATCTTTGTAGCGTTTGTTGCTTAGTGTATCTCGATCGTAGCTGTGTGCTAGCTATGTAGTGACGATGGGCATCGTTATGCGTGTACGCGGCACGGCGAGAATCATCAGCGATGTATTACCGTGCGACCCTGCGCGTGGTAGACAGATGGCAGTCACCCACAGCAATCCGCCATTCGGTCATCCAGATGAACCCCTCTAAAGACCCCACCCAACCTTGCTCTCATCTTTGCCCTGGCGCACTCCCACCCCCCCTCCATCCTACCCTACCCCCGAACAGTACGCTCGGTCGTTACAGCCTATTTTCGGCGGGATACAGCGATGGTGACCATGCGTTGTATTCGGGGGCAAGGTCCCACTTGCACGAATTAAGAGATTCTGGGCATTCGCAGCCCGTCAGGGTTGCGTTTTCTCCCCCTGAGACATTTTCGTCATCGTTCGTTATATCAGACGTTCATTCGGGCCCATTGGTCGTTTAAAGGCTGGTAAAATGAAAGGCACTGACATTTAAGGGGGGGGGCGCAGTTCAAGCAAATGCAGGACCGGTATTTGCCCGTGGCATTTTTCTGGGAACCAGTAGGTGGCCGTGGTCTAAAATATTTTGAAACGGCGTGGGGGCCGCAGGTCCTTGAAATTCAAATATGAAACGGCATGGACCCAGGCCTACAGCCTCATGCCCAGCCCACCCACTTCGGCCCAATCGGCCTGGATGATTTTGTCTGAATCTGAAAGCAGTT